TCTTTAACAAGCCTCATGTATCTGACACTTACCTGAAACAATTAGGAGTGGTCATTTGGTTTCAAGTCTACTCCCATCTATTTCCTTCTTCCCCCCAAGTTTTAGAAATACTATTTTATTTGTAAATAACTACAAATGTGTTCTGGTATTTAATTTTCAAAACATTATTTTATTTTATTTTTTTTTTCATTTTTCTTTTATTATTCATATGTGCATACAAGGCTTGGTTCATTTCTCCCCCTGCCTCCACCCCCTCCCTTACCACCCACTCCGCCCCCTCCCTCTCCCCCCCCCAATACCCAGCAGAAACTATTTTGCCCTTATCTCTAATTTTGTTGTAGAGAGAGTATAAGCAATAATAGGAAGGAACAAGGGTTTTTGCTGGTTGAGATAAGGATAGCTATCCAGGGCATTGACTCACATTGATTTCCTGTGCGTGGGTGTTACCTTCTAGGTTAATTCTTTTTGATCTACCCTTTTCTCTAGTACCTGTTCCCCTTTTCCTATTGGCCTCAGTTGCTTTAAGGTATCTGCTTTAGTTTCTCTGCGTTAAGGGCAACAAATGCTAGCTAGTTTTTTAGGTGTCTTACCTATCCTCACCCCTCCCTTGTGTGCTCTCGCTTTTATCATGTGCTCATAGTCCAATCCCCTTGTTGTGTTTGCCCTTGATCTAATGTCCACATATGAGGGAGAACATACGATTTTTGGTTTTTTGAGCCAGGCTAACCTCACTCAGAATGATGTTCTCCAATTCCATCCATTTACCTGAGAATGATAACATTTCGTTCTTCTTCATGGCTGCATAAAATTCCATTGTGTATAGATACCACATTTTCTTAATCCATTCGTCAGTGCTGGGGCATCTTGGCTGTTTCCATAACTTGGCTATTGTGAATAGTGCCGCAATAAACATGGATGTGCAGGTGCCTCTGGAGTAACAGTCTTTTGGGTATATCCCCAAGAGTGGTATTGCTGGATCAAATGGTAGATCGATGTCCAGCTTTTTAAGTAGCCTCCAAATTTTTTTCCAGAGTGGTTGTACTAGTCTACATTCCCACCAACCGTGTAAGACGGTTCCTTTTTCCCCCGCATCCTCGCCAACACCTGTTGTTGGTGGTGTTGCTGATGATGGCTATTCTAACAGGGGTGAGGTGGAATCTTAGCGTGTCAAAACATTATTTTAATTGGGTAGAGCAGACACTCTACCACTTGAGTTATTTTTTGGATAGGGTCTGGCACTTTTTGCCCAGGGCCAGACTTGGGCTGTGATCCTCCCCAATCTTCGCCTCCTAAGTAGCTGGGATTACAGCTGTGAACCACCATGCCTGACTAAATGTGATAAAATTTATAATGTAACAATGGTCATCTTAGCCATTTTTAACTATATACTTGCTGTTATTGAATACATTCACAGTGTTGTGCATCTGTCACCACCATCCATCTCCAGAGTTCTTTTCATCTTGCAACTGAAGCTCTGTATAACCTCCCTTTCTCCTCAACTCCTGGCAGCCACCATTCTACTTTCTGTGTCTATGAATTCGACTCATCCTGACTTACTTCATTTTTATAATGTCTTCAGGGTTCATCCATCTTGTGGCATGTATCAGAATGTTCTTCCTTTTTAGGACTGAATAATATTCTATTGTATATATGTGACACATTTCACTATCTATTCACCTATGGATGAACTTACCAGTTGGTTCTACCTTTAGGCTGTTGTGAGTAGTGCTGCTGTGAACTGTGGCTATATACTCTTCAAGACCCTGCTTTCAATTCTTTTAGATATAACCCAGAGTTGACATTATTGAGTCATATAGTACTTCTGTTTTTTGAATTTTTTGAGGACCCATCATACTGTTTTCCACAATTGTTAACATTTTATATTCCCACAAATAGTAGACAAGGGTTCCAATTTCTCTATGTTTTCACCAACACTTGTGTTATTTTCTGTTTTGTTTTGTTGTTTGTTTTTGCAATGCTGAGGATTAAACCCAGGGCTTTGTGCATGCTAGGTAAGTGATCTACCACTGAGCTACATTGCCATCCCCTCTTTCTGTTTTTTGATAGTAGCCATCGTAATGAGTGTGAGATCACCTGAATTTTATTTTATTTTTGGTGTTGGGATTGAACCACAGGGTTGTCTGTTTTGTGGTACTGGGTTTTGAACTCAGGGTTTTGGTTGCAAAACAGGCACTCTACCACTTGAGCCACACCTCCAGTCTGAACCCAAAGTCTTGAGCATGCTAACACTATGCTCTAGCACTGAACTATACTTGAAATAATTGAAATAATTGTAATATCATTAAGTTGCCTAGTCAATTAGTCAACATTCATATTCCTCTGATTGGCTTTTTCTTTTTGGTAGGACTGAGGTTTGAACTCAGGGCTTTGGGCTTGCAAGGGAGGCACTCTGTTGCTTGAGCTACACCTCCAGTCCATTTTGCTTTGGTTATTTTAGAGATGGGGTCTCTCAAACTGTTTGCCTAAGCTGGCCTCAAACTTTGATCCTCCCAGTCTCAGCCTCCCAAGTAGCTAGAATTACAGGTGAATCACCAGTGCCTGGCTCTGTGATTGCCTTTTGAATTTTGTATAAGTTTATCTGTTCAAATCATATCAACACATTGCAGTTAGTCAGTGTTTAAGTTTTTTTTCCTCTGTCCTTTCCTATTCCCTCCCCACCCCCTTTTGCAAGTAATTTGTAATTTGCAATCCTTGGAGCCATTTGACATGTTCCACCTGGCCGTTGGAGTTCCTACAAATTGATAGTTATATTTCAAGTCTTTCTTTCCTTCTTCCCTCCCCTCCCCTCCCCTCCCGTCCCTTTCTTCCCTTCTTTCTTTCGCCTTCTCTGAGCATAAATGTTATGGCAGATGATTCTGAGTACTTCTGTCCATAGGCATTTGGTGTCTGGTTGTAAAGTCTCTTACTGCTTGCTCTTTAAATTTTTTTTTCAAGAGGATTAAATGCAGGACCTGTCACATACCTAGTCAAGTACTTCTACCACTAAGTTACACCCCCAGTCAATACATATACATATGTGTTTATTTTGTGATGCTGAGGAGCTAACCAGGGGACTTGCGTCTGGGTTTAAAGATTAACCATAATCATCTGCAAACATTTTTATACGTAAGTGTGTCATGTTCTGTGTCTTACTCGGCACTCTCTGAAGTCCTTGGGGATCTAAATCTGCAGGACTTGTTCCTGCTGCTTCTCATGCACAGTGGCTTGTTTCCTTGTGTGTCCAGTGTGCTTCGATTTTGAACTCATGCTTTCTGACGTCTCTTTACCCTTGTCCCGAGCCCAAGAATGCATTGAAACTTAAATGTTTTACATAGTATTTAATTGAATTACAGTGGGAGTATCTTTCGAAGTATCTGGTCTGCTAAGCAGAGGTTTCACTACTGGGAAACGCCTCTCTTTTTTTCTTTCCTTCCCATTTATATTTCATTTTATATTTTTTGTTTTTAGCAGTGCTGGGGTTTGAATTTAGGGCCTCACGCTTGAGCCACTCTGCCAGCCTTTTTTTGTGTTGGGTATTTTCAAAATAGGGTCTCAAGAACTATTTATCTGGACAGGTTTAGAATCTTCATCCACCACTGCCTCCTGAATAGCTAGGATTACAGGCTTGAGCCACTGGCACCCTGCTTGGTTTGGTTTTTTTTGAGATTTGAGGCCCAGATTGGCCTCAAATTTGTATTCCTCTACCTCCACATCTCCCAAGTACTGGGATTACAGGCATGTGACACCATGTCTAACCTCCATTTAACTGTATTTTAGACATACTTCTATATCATTATGTCACTGTCTTTAATAATTGTGAAGTATTCCTTTGTATGAATATGTAATAACCATTCTGTTATCGACTGACATTTGGTTGTTTTCAATTTTTGTTACTACAAATAAAATCACAATAAACATCCTTACATAAATACCTCTACCAATAGAGGTGCATTTCTACCAATATTCCTGTAGGATAGATTGTTGCAAATGGGATTGGATGAAATACTGCCACATTACCCTAAACAAGTTGTGACAGTTTATACTTGCACTGGCAGTGGTGGAGAATATCCACTTTCTTGTCCATTCTTTCTTGACACTACTATTATGGATCTTTTTAATTTTGCCGATCTAAGAAGAGAAAATTCCTCTTCCTTTTGGAGCTGATGCTTTGGTTGTTAGTGAGAATAAAGATACCATGGGAAATTTATTAGACTTAACATCTTCTGAAAATTGCTCGTTAATGTACTTTGTCCATTTTTCTATTGAATTATTTGTCTTACTGGCTTATTTTTCATTGATATATTAATAGATGGTACATATTGCAAACATTTTCTTCCATGCTGATTTTTGGAGCTCTTTTTCAAGAAATCATGGTCTGTTTCTTCATTATTTAGATCTTTAAAAAATGTCTATTTATACATCTTTACAGGTTTCTTCTGTCTTTCATGTTTTTTAAGTTTATTCCCAGGTATTGAATAATTTTTGTTACTGTTGAAATGGAATCTTTTAAAATTACCATTATTTTCATTTTGGGGCAGTACTGGGAGTTGTTCTCAGAGCAGGCATTCTACCACTTGAGCCACTTCTCCAGCCCATGGTTTTCATTTTTGGCAAAAGAAGGAGCTAGCTTTTTTCTTTACATATCTTGGATGTGACTGTTTAACTCTCTTTGTTCTACTGTTTTCTGTACATGTTTCCTGTAAGGTTGCTTATAGTTATGAATGTTCTGAAAGGAAGGGTATTACTTTTCTTTCTTTCTGTATCACTCTTGTTTCTAGGGCTCTGGACATGGACTTGTGTCATTAGGCCTGCAGTTGAGTATCAGAATGGAATATAGTCTTCAGTGGCCTTATGAGGGAACATAACCACCACAGTTAACCTTATATCTGTAGGAAATTTTGGTCTGAATGCCAAAATCCAGATCACAGATGACTTTGTATATTCTGCTTATTCATAGATTGTGGACCGCCTTTCATTTACTGAATCTGTTTGAATTTCAGGAACGTGAGGATCATCCCCGGAGAGGACGAGAGGATCGCCAGCACCGTGAGCCATCAGAACAGGAACACAGGAGAGCTAGGAACAGTGACCGAGACAGACACCGGGGCCATTCCCACCAGAGGAGGAGCTCTGCTGAGAGGCCTGGGAGTGGACAGGCTCAGGGACGGGATAGAGACAACCAGAACCTGCAGGCTCAGGAGGAAGAGCGAGAGTTTTATAATGCCAGACGCCGGGAGCATCGCCAGAAGAATGAAGTCAGTGGCGGTGGTAATGAGGCTCAAGAGGTGGCTCCTCGACCTGGTGGCAACAGTAAAAACAAAGAGGTGCCTGCTAAAGAAAAGCCAAGCTTCGAACTTTCCGGGGCACTTCTTGAGGACACCAACACTTTCCGGGGTGTAGTCATTAAATACAGTGAACCCCCAGAAGCACGTATCCCCAAAAAACGCTGGCGTCTCTACCCCTTTAAAAATGATGAGGTACTTCCAGTCATGTACATCCATCGACAAAGTGCTTACCTTTTGGGTCGACACCGCCGCATCGCAGACATCCCCATTGATCATCCCTCTTGTTCAAAGCAGCATGCGGTCTTTCAGTATCGGTAGGTGAAACTTGGAGGAAGACCCTGCTGTGCCAGCAGAGGCTGGGTGTGTCAGTTAGCGTTGCTGAGGTTTGTACATATGCATGTGTGGAACCACCACGCACCCTCTTGTCTAGCATTACTTTAAAGAGTATTGTAAATCTAGCTGCCTAGTGAGTAATCACTTACTTTTATATAAGAGCATTGAACTTGGTATCAGAAACCCAGATTTTGAATCCTGCCAATGCCACTTACCAAGTATTTGACCCTGGGACAAGGCACACTCTGGACCTGATTCCACCTCCCTCACATAGCTCTTACAGGGTTTAACTGGAAATACAAATGAAAATACCTGGCGTAGATGTTAGCTGAATCTGCAGCTTGATAGCTTTCATATTGTACCCATTACCATTTGATCCTCATAACAATCCTGTGAAGAAGATGGAGCCAGTATTAATGTCCCATTTGACAGGTGAGCCAGGTGACTTGCCTAATAAATGATCTCCACATTTAGCCCCTGAGTATGAAGTCCAAGTCCACTGATTTTTTTTTTTTCCAATTTGAACTGGAGGTAAAATGTATAGAAATACAAGTGAAAGAAGCATTTTATTGGTTATGCACAACAGAAAAGAAGTATTTTTTTTAACCATGATAGGAGGCCTTGAATTCTGCACTTAAAATTTTGATCTGCCATCAAACCCTCTCCCCCTCACCTGCAGCCAATTCTCATCTTTTATACTAAGTATATTTAAACTGCTCCCAATTTACTTATCCAGAACAGTTTTAACTTGAATCATATTCAGGCCAGGTTACTTACTTCATCTAGCTGTGTTGCAAAGAGCTTTAGCGAAGGCTGGATTATGTGGGGCAGGATTTTACTCACAGGCTTCTCTCTCTGATCTCTGCTAGGCTTGTGGAATATACCCGTGCTGATGGTACAGTTGGCCGGAGGGTGAAGCCCTACATCATTGACCTTGGCTCAGGCAATGGAACCTTCTTGAACAACAAACGTATTGAGCCACAGAGATACTACGAACTGAAAGAAAAGGATGTACTTAAATTTGGGTTCAGTAGCAGAGAGTATGTATTGCTCCATGAGTCATCGGATACCTCTGAACTAGACAGGAAGGAAGATGAGGATGACGAGGAAGAAGAGGAAGCAGTGTCTGACAGCTAGCAGACTAAGAAATAACCCCAACTATTAAGACACCTTTTCCTTCTTGGAAGGCTTTGGGATTGACTCAAAGAGCACGGTGGTGCTCTCTGTAATGCCTCTTATTGCCTTAAGTCTGTCCTCTGTTGCTGACCAGCTTATGTTAGTTTAAGAACACTGACTTATATTTTGTTGAACTTTGTTCTGTGGCACATCAGCCACATGCCTGTGAGCATTTATTTTCAGAACAGTCTTACCAATTACAGCACCTCGTGTTTGTGTAGAAGCATTGTGGCTTTAGTTGGTGCTTTCAGAACTGCTGCCTATGAAACTAAACCCTTGCTTAAAGGGGAGCCATGGCTTGTTCTCTTTGTACAGTTTATTTATATAGTTGTTACGCTTTGTGGACCAGGAGTTTTTATTTTGGGGGCAAATCCCGGAGCAGAGAATCTTACTAAGCTTTGGTTGTCACCAAAACAGCCTCCAACATATACCAAAGCTTTGACTTGGCTTGAGCTCTTGAGTCATAGAAGTTAATTTTGCACTTGTTATTTTTAGAGGGGAGGGGGGTGGAGGGGGTGGGAATTTACCACATGACCTCATTACTGACTGTTAAACAGATGCTTCAGGGCACCTGCTTCAACACATGACTGAACAAGAGGATCATGGCTACTACCAGCGGATGCTGATTTAATATCATGAGAGGCTGAAATGGTTGTGGATCTGTTTACTATGAGAGAATTCCTGATTTCCCCATGGAACAAGTACTTAACAATTTTGATCATTTGGTCTATTCTTCAGTTTTGTATTTTTATTCAAACATTATCTTTCTCTTTTTTTTCTTCTTCTTCTTTGAAATACACCGTCACATATGTGGCAGGGGCCTTGCTTTATTTTAACAACATGTATATATGTCTAAAGGAGGTCTGTGTCCCTTACACGTTTCATCTTTTAAAAACTGTTTGGAGAGGTTGTGATTACCTTCTGAGCCTGGAAAGGGGACTGCCCAGTTTCCTAATTTTCCACTTGAGGACTTGTGTGTAGGTAGAAAAGTGTTAACTACTTACATAAAGTGTATATGTACATGTGTGTGTGTATATATATGTGTATATATATATATATATATATAAATTGTTAAAGAGCTGTGTGCTGATTTTCAGTTACAATGTTTTGTGATATAAATGTAATACCACATGATAGGCAAAGGCCTTTCTGCATTTGAAGAGCAGGTTGTCATTTGTATGTATTTTTGTGATAAAAAATAAAATTTGTACATACAGTCCCATTTCAAAGGGTAGTATTTTCCTAGCATAGAGGACTTAGGTCCATACACCTATTTGCTGCTCAGAGTCTTTGTATCAGTGTTTTTGTGGTGAAAATAGGCAGTGTGTTAGGGAATCATGGGGAAAGACCAAGGAGTAGTGAAGATAGAACTCACGCCTGCACTGGAATCCAGACCTTCATGTCTCAGCAAGTGAGCATTGGTCATGTGGAAGCAACAGTGCTTTTCTGAACTGGCAGAGAAGGGTTTTTCCTCCCCCAGATAGAACTGAGGGCAAGCTATGTCTAGCTGTCCCTTCACAAGGTGAAATGCCATCCCTACTATTTCATCCTCAGTGGTGATAGAGGTGGTGACACCACTCAATCTGTGCTGCTGTTAGCTCCTCCCCTGGTGTTGGAATTTAGGATGTTACTAATTGAGACTGTCTTTTCCATTCTTTTTACATTATAATCTCACATACTCACATGTACTCAGGGTAACATTTAGCTAGTTCGGGGAAGGGCAGATGACTAATGTTCATTTAAAAGAAATGAAAAGATTCCTTTGAAGAGTGAACACTTAAGGTCAGTTAGATGAAAGGGAAGATGAAGGAAACACAGCAAACCAGGAAGGGCAAAGTATTCACACCCCATCGTGTTCTACTTTGGCCACTGGAGCTGGTGTTTTTCTCACTTTGATGAGTGCCATAGGTCACAGTGTATGGCTGTGTGTAGGAAGTAGATTTTGTTTTGATGAACCTTCATCTTGATCCAGACAAGGTTTTCTCCCTGGGATTAGGCACTGATCTGGCATCTCACTCCTTGATCAGTGTGTGCTGCTGTAACTGCACCCTAGTAACCTTGGGCTTTGTTCAAACACCTACCTGATGGGCTCTGTGATAGATGGCCACTTTGCCTACATTTTTCTTTCTTTTGTTTTTGGTGGGACTAGGGTTTGAACTCAGGGCTTTGTGCTCACAACGCAGGTGCTCTATTGCTTGAGCCATGCCTCCAGCCCACTGCCTACATTTTTCAATGAGAAGTTCCAGGTGTATCAAGAACTTCACTTTAGTGGAACAGCTTCCTGGATTAAGAGATCCTTCATGCCAAACATCTGCAAAGGTGTTTCTTTTGTAGGAAGAATGCCAAAGGAAAATCCACATCTAAAGTTAAGAAACTTGTTCATCTTAACCATTTGCAACTTCATTCTCTATCTTTTGTCCACTTTGGCTGGCTTATTTGCAAATCATCACTTCAAAATCAAGCTATCTTCAGAACAGCCCTTTGCTTCTGAGCCCCTCCTCCAGGGCCTCTGTGGTGGTCCACGCTTCTGCAGAGGCATGGGACAAAATCTTCAGATTTTCCTCATAATCTAGTCATATTCTAGTTCCCTCATTCCATTGTGACCAGACAGAACATTAAGTGCATATAGTACGCAACTTTTAAGTATTTTATTGTGGCCTGGTGGTAAGTTGACAGCAGAAGTAATTAATTGAGATAATGAGGAGCTAGAGATGTGGCTCAAGTGGTAGAACACCTAAGCAAGCATGAGGCCCTGAGTTCAAGCCCCAGTACTGCCAAAAAAAAAAAAAAAAGATAATGACTATATTATTTTATTGAGTAGGCCAGTATACATAATATGACTTAGTTTTACAAAGTTTAGAGCTTGGGATGGGGATGTAGTTTAGTGGTAGAGCACTTGCCTAACACACCCAAGACCCTAGGTTTAATCCTCAGCACCCAGCCTCCAAAAAGCTTAAAAATACATATTTAGGTTTGAGTGTCATTTGATACAGTGTACAGATAGTTTTATATATACATATATATGTATATATTTTTTTTTTTTTTTACATTTTCCTATTGTTGAAATAAGATCTGAGGAATAGATGTCATAACTGGAGCCTACATGTGACACAATGTGCCAGCAACAGCTGCTTATGAAATAATGTCTGGGTATGAGTTTATATCAAATCAAAAGGGTACTTGTTTGAAATTAAAATTTTGGAATTTTAAAGCTTCATTTGATCTCTGTAGTAAAGGGCTTGTAAATTTTCGAGTGGGAAACAATTTACAAAGACAGTTGCTAGAACTGAATGGTGAAGAAACTCCCTTTCCCAGCAACCTTTCCTCCTGTATCTTAATGTAAAAAATGAAGGGCTGGGGAATTAACTTCTCAGTAGAGTCCTTTTTTTTTTTTTTTTGGAGGTACTGGGGTTTGACTCAAGTCTACACCTTGAACCACTCCATTAGCCTTTTTGGGGGATGGGGTTTTTTTGTGATAGGGTCTCGAGAACTGTTTGCCCAGGCTGGCTCCTAACTTCGATCCCTCTGCTCTCTGTCTCCTGAGTAGCTAGGATTATAGGTGTGAGCCACTGGCACCCACTTAGAGTGCTTTCTTAGCATGAATTTGATCCCCAGCACTGCCAGGAAAAAAAAATGGATTGATTTGTTCACACTGTAAAGTTCGAGTGAGTGAATCTATCAGCAGTTACATAAGCTTCTTGGTATGCTAGCAGTTGGTTTGCAGCTGTGAGTCAGATAAAGGTGGGCTGTACCTCATGGAAGAGATGACATTTCAGGTATCCCTAAAAAAAATAGGTTTATTTTAAACCAGTTAGAGGAGAGAATTGTGCCAGACTGAACAGTCCAGGGAGCAGCAGGACTGCATTGCAGATGTGGAAAGGATTCTGTGAACTGTTGGCCCATAGTGGTAGAGCGGTGATGAGAAGTCACTCAGTTCCAGATCTGGACTGTTCTTCCCACCTGCAGTGCTTAGTGGAGAGTGGAGGAGGAGAACTGATTCCACAGGGTCTCAAGGAAATCATGCTGAGTGGGACGTGTGGCGATAGAGAGCCACTCAAGCAAATCCTCCCTGCACAGTCACAGCCAGAGCTACTTGAAAATCATGTTGATTCATAAACACAGACAAATGTCTAGGAGTGAGTGCTGAAGAAGTCTGTGAACTGAGACTTCAGCAACAAGCTGGCCGGTACTGAAGAACACTTTATGAAAGGTGCAGTTGTAAGCATGTTGCATGTGTGCGAACTCATTTCTTCCTCATAAACCAATGAGGCAGCCTTCAACTGTGATTTCTTTTTGACAGAAAACTGAGGCACAAAGAGGTTCAGGTCGCACAGTGGTAGGCAGGACTGGGATTCAAACCCAGTCACAGTTCCAGACACTGTATTTATTTTTCAGATGGAGGTCTCACTGTGTCGCCTAGGTTGGTGTCTAACTCCTGTGTTCAAGTGACCCTATGACCTCAGCTTCCTGGGCAAGTGAAGTGTCAGAGGTTTTGGATTTTTTTTGTTTTTTGGTGGCACTGGGGTTTGAACCCAGGGCTCATGCTTGGTTAGGCAGGCACTCTACCACTTGAGCCACTCTGCCAGCCAGACTGTTTTTGATTTTTTTGTTTTGTTTTTTTGGTGGTAGAAACGTCTGAACTCAGGACCATCTGCTTGTGAGGAGGTGCTCTACCACTTGAGCCACACTGCCAGCCCTTATAGCTTCAGTTATATTGTGAGTAGGGTCTCACTTTTATGTCTGGGCAATAATCCTGCCTGAGCCACTCCACCAGCCCTCACAGTGACCCTCCTATTTATACTTCCTATGTAAGCTGGGATGACAGGCATGCACCCCCATACGCGTGTTTTTATTTGTTGTGATAGCGTCTCACTATTTGCTTTGGTTGGCCTTGAACTGAGATCCTTCTGATCTCCAAGTTGCTAGGCTAGCTGGCTAGATGGTACAATCTTAACTATTGTGATACACTGTTTCTTACAGTCTTGAGACATAGAAGGGCTGGTTCTCACAAAGCAGTAAGACAGTGCTAGATGAGAGTTGACTTGGGGATTGTTGCAGCACAGAGAAATAGAGTTAAAGCCTTAGGAATCAGAATTAGCCATTAGCCAGAAGAGGCTGTACAATGGGACTCAGAAATGCCACATGAAGCATTGGAAGAACAAGTTCTGTAGGGGAATAGGGGTAAGTGAGATTTTTGGTTTCTCTTGCTCCTTTTTTTTCTTTTTAATGGGAATGGGGTTCAAACTCAGGGCTTCACACTTGCAAAGCAGGTGCTCTACCACTTGAGCCACACCTCCAGCCCATTTTGGTTATTTTGGAGATGGGATCTCTCAAACTATTTGAACCTCAATCTAATGATCTCAGCCTCCCAAATAGCTAGGATTACAGGTGTGAGCCATCAGTGCCCTGTTGATTTTTGGTTTCTCTTAAATGCTGGACTAAGTTATTTTGATGAACTCGTGTTAAGTTACTTCAA